ACTTGAAATCAAGCATCCTGACTGATATGAGGCAGGAAAGAAAAGGAAGAGTTTATTGTAATTCTAATTATCAATTCTGAGTGACTGAGAGAAGAGGGAAGCTATTATATATAAAGAAAGAAGAGAAGATATAAAGAGGAGATAGTTGACTTTAGGTCTATTTAGTTAGGGTCTGTATTTGAATATCCATTGTCAATAAGCACTCTGATATGTAGGTTTGAAATTCAGAGAAGTGAGGATGACACAAATAGATTTTGGAGTCTTTAATCTTTTTCTCTTGTCTTTAATGTAGATGTTTTATCTATGGTGTTCTTGGTTTGCTAGGTCTTTGGACTCCAATACTGCTATCTTTAGCAAAAAGGAACATAAATATATCACATTCTTGTCTTTAGGAAATTTTCAAAGGTTTTATTTTAAGGATTAGCTCAGAACAATATTGCAATAGGAGGCATTGTCGTTGGCCATAATTGTTGGCAAGACTGTGGAGTGTGAGAAAAATTACTCATGTTCATAGTCTCAAAAGAGAAAATGAACTGTTATTGTTAAGTATTCCACACCCCCCAACCACATATGTTGGTTGAAGACCCATCAAAATATCACAGCCTATAAGAAGGAAGAGCGAGACGCAGTCTCCCAAATGTTGCAGAACAGAAATGGAATATAAAAAAATTCACAATTAGCTTCCTACAGTCTTGCCCCAAATCCTTAAGCCCTCCCTCTCGCTTTCCCTCAAAAGAGGCTCTTTAAAAACAGAGGAAATCAGCATTTTTTCAGTTTCTTGCCTAAAGACATAAATTGAATTGAAAGGTTCTTATCTTCCACTTAGGTTTAATACTTTCAAGAAAAATATGTACACTTAACCTTTTTAGTAATCTTAAATCTTAACATACATGTGTCTTTATGCACACTCATATTATATATATATATAATATATATATTATATTTGGTGTTTTATCTTTGACCAAATACCTAAATCCCATGGAGATGGATACCATAAAAGGCCAGGAAAGATGAATAAGCCAGCACTATTAATAGGCAGTTAGCTGTTATTTTCAATAGAAACACATAAAGGAAAATTATTGGTAAGAGAGGAGGTTTTGACCCATATGTTGACGAATGCAAATCTTTGAAAACTGCCAGCAGTATATAAACTTGAATCCATCAAGAGTAGTGGAATAAAGAATTCAGGGACATAGAAAGACAGGAGCACACAGAAGGCTCTTGGTGCCTGCAGAACACAGCATATGAAAATGCACTATATAAATTCTATAAATAAATAACTGCACAAATACATTAATCAATATGATTCACTACCATAGACGATTTACCAGTGACAAAATGACTTGGCTTCTTCTATGGCACAGCAGTTTATAGTGCATATTAGAAGAATAGTAAATATGAATACAATGATAGACAATATCAGAGTTTGTAAATGCTCTAGATCAGTTCACAAAAGGCTGACACACTCACAGGGACAACCAGCTGTGCATGTTTCCAACCCAAATGGGACTATTCCATTAAAAGATGTCATCTGTAATTTTTAAAATTTAAGCAGAAAATCCATATTAATTAATAAAAGAGGTTCCATATTAATTAATGTTACCATATTGATTAATAAAAGAGAGAGCTAGACTACACGAACCTCCCAGAATCATTAAGGATCTGGTCCAAATTTTCACTCTGCAGGCAGTTTGCTGAATTGTGCGCATCTGTGGGTAAAAGGAAAAGTTACAGCTCTGGGGAGATAATAGTGTGTCTAATGGCTTTCCTGCTAATTGAATTAACTTCATAGGATAGAAGCAGATCTGATCCTGCCAGGTAATAAGCTTGTTTCTAAGGGCAGTGTCTTAACCCTTTCAGATAATAGCTATTACATGATTTCTTCAGGCTATTTACTGGTACCCTAAGACCACCAGAAGTGCATAATGCATCTCCAAGTATCCACATTGTATAAAAATATATGATGCCTGCTTAGCAAAATGATGTGGAAGAGAGGGCATTGACTGAAAGTCATGTCAGCTGAGCTTCATTTCCAAATATGATACCAATTAAACATGTCAATTTATTTAAGTCACTTATCTGCTTTGTCTTTAAATTTCCTCTTTATAAAAAAAATAGAAAAAATTCTATATGCTCTATCCAGCTCATAGAATGAAGGAAGTAAAATGAGGTCATTATATATATAATGAGATAATTATATATATATATATATATATATATATATATATGCTTATATATATATGTTAAGTTTTATCACTGAGATCTTTTATTTTTGTCAGAATTGGTTATCCTACTCTCTTTTAAAAAAAATCTTGATCTTCCAAATGCATGGAATGTCTTTTTCCAGATTGTTACAGATGATGAATGTTAGCTTAGGAAGTCATCCCATCAGTTACTATTCCAACAGTCTGATTCTGAGTCTAGCAAATGTGGATTTTTGTTAGTAGCCTTTTATCTCTTTAAACTACATTTGAAATTTCTATGCCCATAAATAATAGCAAACAGAAATTATAATTATATCTAACTATTAAATGCAAGGCTATTATCTTCTCCATTTTATAAATGAGGAAACTAAGGTTCAGCAGTCTAGTTAACATAGCCAAGTTCATGCAATTGGCAGGTGGCAGCTCTAGATTCTAATAACCTGTAAGATGAATAACTATTTTCATAAAAGTAGGAAGGTTTGAGAGACTCAAGTGAAGATGGGGAACGTGCATTGCGGGCTGAGTAGTGGGTGAATGGAGTACTGGGTTTAAATGTGGACTTTGCTCTCTGCAATATATGGTCTTGGGAAAATCACATAAACTCTTTGGAAACTTGGAGAAAGACTTCAGAAACGCTTCAAGGGTAAAATTGTTGGACATAGTAAACAGACTGGATATGGGCACAGAAGATAAAGGTAGAAGAAGTAACTATTTTGATTTTAGAACTTGACTTCAAAATATTTAAATACAGCCAAGTGGTCAGGCACTTGGATAGAAGTCCAACTTGGAGGTCTAGATGTTGGCATCATTTGTATAGAAGGAGTGATTGCAATTGTCAGAATGGGAGAGGCAGCAGAAATCTCAACACCTTGGAGACTGCTTCTAGTCCACAGTTCCTCTAGATTTTAGGCTTTGCCTTCTATTACCCTACCTCTATCTATCTTTTAAGTAATTTGAATAACTCAGGCTCTTTTCAATCTCAAGACCTTTGTACTTGTTGTTTCCACTTCTGAAACACACTTTCTATTCTTTATGCACCTGGCTCCTTCCCGTGCATCAGGGCTTCCCTGCCCACCCTAAGAAGAAGAAGTGCCCTTCTCATCTCTACCCCAGGCCCTTGTTGTTACTGCCAAAGCACTTACCATGATTTGCAGTTTATTTATTTGCTTGCTTTTTGTATCCTCCACTGAGATATAAGCTCAGTAAGGCAGGAACCATGTCTGTCTTCAGAGAAACAGACCAATAGGGTGTGTGTGTGTGTTTGTGTGTATAAAGAGATTCATTTTAAGAAATTGGCTCATGTGATTATGGAAGTTTCATGAATCCAAAACCTGATAGGGGAGGCTGGCCAGCTGGAGATTCAGGAAAGAGTTACAGTTTGAGTCCAAAGACAGTCTGCTGTAGAACCAAGAAAAGTTGATGTTGCAGAGGAAGTCCAAAGGCCCTCTGCTGGAGAATTCTCTCTTGCTCCAGGGAAGTCTGCCTTTTGTTTTATTCCGGCCTTCAACCACCTACATTATGGAGAGCCCAGCTACATTATGGAGAGCCCAGCTACATTATGGAGAGCAATCTGCTTTACTCAGAGTCTATTGATGTAAATGTAAATCTCATCCAAAAACACCCTCACAGAAACATCCAGAATAATACTTGATCAAGTATCTGGGTACTGTGGCCCAGCCAAATTGACACACAAAATTAACCAGCAGGTATGCAGAACATTTAGTACAGCTTCTTAGACATAGGAAGCACTCACTAATGAGTCTCCTTGGTCTGTTTCTATGTCTTCACTCATGTCTGAAGGTCAGGATCCATGAGAATGTGTGTGTGGTCTCTTGCTGGATGGAATAACGTGATTTTCATTCTTACTCTATTCTGAGTCTTTCTGCAAACCCTACATGTAAAATTGAATTATGTTTCCTATAAACAGTATGGATAGTAAATGCTTCCCGGTGTAAAGCAGAAAATGGACACAACAGAAAGAAATGTGTGTGAGGAACAAGCTAGCGTAAAATCATGGACTTCCATGGCCTAACTCAAAGCCCTGGTCATTTGCAGTTCCCCAAAGCAGTTCAAGTGAAGAGCTGAAGCATTGTGTCCATTCTTACTTAGAGGAGGATGCAAAGGTTATAAACAACTTTTTTCTTTAATCTCTAGTAAGGGAATTTCTGCCTGGCAGTTGGTATCTTGAAGAGAACTCAGGCATATACGCATGGGATGTCTTTTCACAAATTCCCAGAGTAAAAACCTCTTGCCATACGGAGGTAGGGGGTAAGACATTATGACAGCATCTATATGGTCCTCATAAATTTCTTTTCTGGACAAACTGAACTCTTTGCTAAGCTGTTACCAAGTCCAAAAGGTAAACTATCCCCATGATGACAAGAGCAAAAAGGGAATCAGTTTATATAAGTCCTTAATATCTCACAACTATCTAAGGAGCAATGTGAGGTTACATGGATGTTTCCTATAGTGACGATGGCACCCTCAATGGTAGGTTGCCATTTCCCATTTATCTCTGCGCATGAGCTATTCAAAAAACCTGGTCTGTGCCCAGGTGAAGATGCCTTTTGGCAGAATAGAACTGAATTCAGAAGAGAAACCTGGCTAAGAGGAACAGGACGTGAAACATTAAGTGACTACATTGTCATTACCATCATTAGATTTGAACTAGCATTATATACACATTTGGATGGAATTCACTGCAGAATTAACCAAAAACTGCCCCACCTCAAAATCTAAATGGTTGACATGAGATTGTACTTGCAAAAGAGGCAGCAAAAGACCATGCTGTTCAAAATGCTTTATGAAATTTTATTTGATATTATTCAATAATACAGATTTTGTGGTAAGTGCACATTTCTAAAAGTGCATAATCAAACATCTTACTTTTCTAGATCTTGCATTTGTCACAGAAGTATGCCACAGATTGTTATTTAAAGATTTACTCCTTATAGATTCATATTAAAATATGCCACAAAGAAGAGATAAATGAATTTATATGATGTATTTGCTGATTATGAAATTAGAGAAATACAAAAATATTGTTTGGCAATAATAGAAAATATATATTTCTTTTTTATTCCATTACTTTTGAAATCAAGCATAAACAGTAAAAGAAAGAGTAGTCAAACTGGTTTCGCACAATTTAATATATCACCAATACTATATTTTTCACTCTTGAATAATGAAGCGCATGACCCACTACTGTATAATTTAGGCTTTGTTCAAACATTAATTGCCATAATCATGAAGGTTACTATTAAAAGCAGATAGAGCAGACTGGTGCACAGCAAAAGAGTGGCTTTAACCAGAGCTCCATCCTAACATCTTTGGTTAGGAACATAGTTTAAATATTTAAAGAAGAATGTCATCTTGATTCATTGGTGGGGTTTGGACACCTGTCTCTGGCATGAGTGGTGAACAGCACAGAGTGATATGAATGGTTACTAAACACTCTCACTTGCAGTATCTAGCACCAAAAAGAAGCTATGTCGTCAAAGAGGGCTCAAAAAAGTTTTGCAAACTCTCAAAACTTTGGCTTTTTCTTCCCTGCCATAGTAAATAATTATTTGACTTTCTTCATTTGTGCTTTATGGAGCTAATTACATTTGCTTAGAAACAGCGCTCAAATTGAATGTAATTTTTAATTATAAAATGTCTCCTTGGAAACATTTTCTTGCATGTTAAATTGTGCTTTGTTCTAAAATACTTAGTTTCACTTACAATTAGAAATCAAAGAGCATGGCATAGGGCGATTTGGAAATTGTCACATTAATTGCCACAAAAAAGTTACTATTTTTCACAACGGACAACTGACGGTGAATATCCAATTAACTGCTACACGGTTATTTAACAACTATCCTCAGAAAAGAATTATTCTATTTTATGACCATTAATTGAATGGTCACTGGTGGTAGACTTCTTTTAAAATTTAGAAATATATTTAGAAATTATATATCTGCTTTAATTTAGAAAGAGCTGAACATAATGATCACAATTAAAAAGATTAGCATATGAGGGTGACCTCAAAGTTCACAGCAACTGTTTCACAAATCACCTTAACACACCGGATTCACAGCTAAGGGCAAGCCTCTCTTTGGTTCATAAGGTGTTGTCCTGGAAACCATTTTGATGCAGTCGATAATAGGGCAGACGCTGAGACACAGGGTACAGCCTGTACAAGAGTCAGTAACGGTGGGCAGGTGGGTTTCGGGATCAAACAGTATGGCCTGCAAACAGAAATTAAGAGGATTGCTGTCGCTGCTCACAAAGGTCAATAAAGCCCCCATTTTAGCATCAACGTTTTTCTCCACTGCGGTAGAAGTGCAGTTGGAGACAACTCGCCCAGCACTGTGTGTGGTGCAGCTATAGCAACAGTTGAGCTGCCAGAGAGGAGGAAAAAAAAGAAAAGAAATCCTTTTAAATTAGAAACACAATGTTTAAAATTCCTTAGAGGCATTTTTCTTCCATTGTGTGAGGAAAATATTTCATAACATAGTAACTCTCTAGTTTCCTTTGTTCTGAGCAGAGCTCGGGTCCTTGGTGTCCCACCAGGAAGGGTGTCTGCTCCCTGAGGAGGACGGGGTGCCCTCACACGTCCTCCTTCCCCTCCTCACACTCCTTGTTCTCGACTGTGGAAAAGTGTCACCGTCAGACGGGGCAATGAATGCATTGGTTTGGATTTCAAATTATGCATGTAGTTTTTAGAAGGAAGCAGTAGAAAAAAATTAGCTTATGAGCCAGCTTTGAGGTTTGAGGATTTCCAAGCCGATTCTAAGCATTGTTCCACCACAAAGGGGAGAAAGCACTGAAAGACGAGAGCTTCTAGTCCTGGGCAGACACTACTCAGCTGTGAGAACCTGGGAAGGCCTCTAGCTCTCAAACTGCTCAGGATTTTGAGAAATTTGATTACTTATTCCTCTCTTCCTCTCTCCCTCCCTCCCTCCCTCCTTCCTCTCTCTCTCTTTTTTTGTTTAAACATGAAGCAATCTATAATAAGCAATAAAAATATCTAGTGTGAAATTTACAATTGAGATTTTTATTTAAAGTCATGATGATTATTTGCCTGTTAAAGAGAAACATTTCAACTGTGGAAACAACATGCAAGAATTTCCTGCTGGGGGTCCTTCAGGGCAGCTATATGGGGCCAGAGGCGACTTAGGGGACTTGTCTGGCAGTCTCACTTGCACAACAAATACAATGTTTTTACTCAGACTGTGTATTAATTTGGAGTGGCGAGGTAGGGGTTGAGGAAAATTATGAGGGACATCAAGGTCCCCTCCTCCCATACTCCTTGGGGCCCAGTCTGCAACTCTTACATTTTCAAATAATTACTTGATTCTGGTCTTTTTCCTGTGTCATATACAATGGGTTATAATCCAATTCAACACAAATTTTTTTCTGTTTAAAAATTTCCTTCTCCCAAATGAAGCTACTTGTAATTATAATTCTTTCTTCTTTTACGCACATAAAAATGAAAATGGTCTTATTAGAGTAAATCATGTCAGACTGCTTAATATAAAAAAAAAGTCTGATCTTTAAGGAAACAACCATATTATACCTGAACAAGAACTGTAGTTATGACAAACCATAAGAAAATCTGTCCACACAAACTGTTGCCATGGTTTGTAAAACAACATCTCAGATGGCTGTTTGAATGAGTAAAAACTATTTCTCTTCCTTATGTACTGTTTTATAAATAGAAACCCACGAAGCAACTGATGAAAATAAAATAATACTTATGTCTTAGAAATCTTATACTCTGAAAATTTGCAAACATATAGAACTTTACATTCAGCTAAAGATTTTGATTTTCTATTTTTTTATCTTTTTGCGACAGAAGAGTCAAAGGAGGACTTTAAAAATCTTTTAAAATGTCTAATTGTGATTTTCTCTTCATTAATAAAATTATTTTTATTGAAGTTATACCAAGGCTAGAATTCCAAGGTGGGAGTCCTAACTTCTAAGATTTAAGATATTAGAACCCTGATGCCATGATTTTAGTGACAGGACTTCTTGACTTATCTCTGATTGGTCAATTAGAGGAAAGAGGTAATGAAAGTGAATGTGATATGATTAGCATTTTCAAAATAACTGTTAGAGACACCTTTTAGCTAGGAAAAAAGTGATACAATGGGAAAAAATTGGTAGAGAACTAATGTCAAATTAAGGAGGAAGAAATTAAAAAAAAAATTAAAAATATGTCTGTCATATCTCTATTAGGTGGTCAGAGAATATGCAAAATTCCACCATGAGCAACATGGGACCTTGCTCCAGGCTGAATAAGGTAAATGAACTTCAATTTTTTAAAATGGGCCATTTTATGTATCTTGAAAATTCCATTAATCATCTTAAAGGGGTCTTATGTTACTTTATTATACTTCTTTATGGCTTGAGAAGTTTAATGAGAATAATATTATTCTGTAGTTTTTAGCCTGAAGACAGCTGAATCTCCACTTTTTCTTTATTGTCCCGTGGCAGACTCGCAGCTGAAGAGTGGGGAACTGGGAAGAACCTATGTCTCCCTTCTTGTGGTAGGAATACAACTTGTCGGCTTTTCCAGCTACAAAGCAATTCCTGGTCCCAACCCGCATGACAAGTTGATGGGAAAGTGCTTTTTCTTTCTAACTGTCGTAAAAGCCCAATCAATATTGAATGGAAGAGAATTCCCTTTTGGTAGAAGGAATCAAGTCCTTCCAGGGTGATGGCAATAAATGGTAGTTCTCTCCCTTCCCTCTGTATTAAAGCATAATGCTTCCTAATGTCCATAATTGTGTGAATTTCTCTTTTCGGTTGGATATTTTCCTCCAATTTTATGGGTGATGAAATAGTACTGTGCGTTGAATAGTGGCGTAGTTAGTATAATTTATGGCTTTCCTTTAAAAAAATTGCTATGCTATGAGGTGAGAGGACAGAGAGATGTACCACTGCTGAGGGGCAATATTTGGCACGTCTGGTCTGCATCATACACTTAGCAATAGAAGATGCTTTTTCCTACAAAAGTCAGAAGAAACGTGCCTCACAGCATCCTAATTATAGCAGAATTCTTACCTGGTAGCCAGAGTCATTACAGGTCATGTAGCATTTACCACAGTTGATACACATTTCTTCATCAATCAGAGCTACAACGTGCTCTGTGTTGCTCAGTTCACCAAATGCTCCAAGGTACCGCAATGCTTTTCCAATTACATCCTACAAGATAGGCACTGAATTACTTACAGTGTTCATTTTAAAATATTACCATGTAATAATTAACACCATTCCAAATTTCCCTGTTTTTATACAATGCTGCATTATGTAACTTAGGAGTCTTTGTATATTGCAGTTCTGACAGATCTGCTTTTCATAATTGGAACTTAAATATTTCTTTTTCTTTTTTTTTTTTTTTTGTGAGGAAGATCAGCCCTGAGCTAACATCCATGCTAATCCTCTTCTTTTTGCTGAGGAAGACCAGCTCTGAGCTAACATCTATTGCCAATCCTCCTCCTTTTTTTTCCCTCAAAGCCCCAGTCGATAGTTGTACGTCATAGTTGCACATCCTTCTAGTTGCTGTATGTGGGACGCGGCCTCAGCATGGCCAGAGAAGCGGTGCGTGGGTGCGCGCCCAGATCCGAACCCAGGCCGCCAGTAGCCGAGCGCGCGCACTTAACCGCTAAGCCATGGGGCCGGCCCTAAATATTTCTGTCTTCTGAAAGATGGGCTATATATATATATATATATATATATACACACACACACAGATACCTAGCTTAGAAACACAAGACCTAATTAACTGCACTCAATAGGTTTTCTATTAGACAATCTAAAACAGTGTTTCTGTGGACAGAAGAAATGACACCCTTTTCAGTGGTTGTGGCTTACTTTTTCTCAAATTTGGACTTTGAAGGATCCAAAAAAAATGAAAGTGACAAAGGGTAATGCACTGATAGTAGAAAATTTTAGCTTGCTGGCGATGAGGGGAATAAAAATGTGAATGTCATGCATTTATATCACTGCATTTGGATTCTAGATTTTCATTTAGAAAAGTGCTTTGATAGCATACCCACCTGTCATATCTTGAGTATATTTCATTATTTAAAAATTGTAATTTATGTTAATTAATTAGGTTCATCTAATAGCTAAATAAGACGCTCTTTTACTTTTAAAGAGCTAAGATTTTCTTCATTCACCACTGAAGATTTGTCATGCAGTTACATATTGCTTTGTTCTTCATATTAATTGGAAGTGTGCTTAATATGTGAAGCACAGAGGATGTTTCATCAACAATAAGAAACACTTTGTTTCATAAAACAAAACAGAAGCACGTAACAATGTTTGTCAAATTAGTATGCTGTCAAGATTTTCTGCTTTTGTTTTCAACTTTTAACAACAGCATCTTTTGTTTCAATTCAAGGTCCATGTTCAAGGAGGTTTGACTCATTTAAAGCCATCTTCCTATCTTCTCTTCGGTATTTTATTTTCTGCTCTTCTTTGTATGACCTTGGTTACTCATTTTTGCTTTTTTTTTCTATTTTAGTTCTAAATGACAATATGCTCATGACTTTAAGCTTTCAAAGTGAAACGAAGTTTACATTCTTACATACAGTTCATTTATGCAACTCTCGAGGAGTAAGATGCTAGAAAACACACAATACTGTCTTCACTATTTTCTTTTCGATGTGTTGAAGTTAGAATTTCAACTGTACAGCAGTCTGTTTGTAGGTGGGCCCTTGATGTCCAAATCAATAACTCCATTCTGAATTGCTCTCACAAACTCAAGATCTACACTTATCAGCTGCATGATGAACACTGTCACAGAAATTGGCACCTCAAATTCACCACTCACTGAACTAATCAACACCACAAAACTGGATCTTCCTTCTGATTTCCTTAGTTTTGTGAACAGTGTTAGGATTTTTCCAATCACTGAAGCTTGAAATTTCAGTTATATTTCACTCCCACTTCTCCCTACTCCAATATCTCATCTGTTGCCAAGTCTTCTGAGTTCTGGATCTGCAATATCTTTTGAATCCTCTTTCCATGTTTACTACAATCTTTAACCATTACTAATTAATTCACCATTACTTCTAAGGCAGTTGCAAGAGCTTCCTTGCTCAGTTTCATCCTCGTGTTCTTTCTCCCTCTACCCTGTGCAATGTTGTCATCTTAATCTAGGCTGTACAGCACAGACTAAATTTCTCACTATTTTCATCAAAAATCTGTTGAATTAAATACAGTCTCACATTTAAGTCTAGCATTTAAGGCTTTCTATCAACATATCTTTTTGGGTCTAATTTTTCACTTCCAAACACCATATGCTTCAGCTACACTGGACACACTTAACACACTTGTCAATCAGCTCCTCTGACACCTAATTTTATGTTGAGTCCTCCGTCCAGAAAACCCTTCATTCCCATTTCCACTTTGAAAAATCTTATCCATCCTTCAAAGACAGCTCATATGCCACCCCCTCATGAAGATTTCCTCAATCTTCCTTCTTCTTTCTTAACCAAGTTGAAGATGTGATCTCTCTCTCTCTCTCTTCTCTGTCTCTTCCCTCTTCTCCTCCTCCGCTTCTCCCCTCCCCATCCTCTCTATTTTTTCTCCTGATGGCCTGTAATATTTTATCTATTATGTGGAACTAATGATAACAGATAACTTTTGAGTTCTTACTATGTTTCAGGCCAGTGCCATAATTTTTAAGCATTTTCTCTTTTAAACCTCATACATTTTATAGATGATGAAATGACTGAGATTTAAGGTATAAAATTAAGTAACCGGTGAAGCAGAGATTCAGACCGGTGCTGCCTGACTTCAAATTCTATGATCATAAGCACTCTGCTATGCTGACTCATCTGCTATTTCTGTGTTTAGCAAATGCAACTTCATGTTATGGATATTTTCTACATTTAGCTTCCAAATGCAGTCTCTTAGGAGACTTTATTCTTCTTTGTGTCTCATGTGGTATATCTTGTTCCTGCAGATCACTGAAATATAATGGGTACTCAAATATTTGTTAAAATAAATATATTTTTTGTTTACCTATGTACTAAATATACAGCATAATAGGCACATAGTTGTATGGGTGAATAGCTACTTGTTGGTTTACTGAACATTTTTATTAATATGAGATTCACAAAAAGGTTTGAGCACTTCTTTAAATACAAAATAATCATAGTCAAAGAATCTGGATATGTTTAATATTTCCTAATACTATTTTAAGACAGTAAATGCATGAGGTCACTCTCTGGCTATAAAAGGTTACTTATATGTGACAGAAAATAATTTTTTCAATCTAGTAAATAAATCAGTCAAAATAGCTGTTTCATTAAATTGGATCATGGGTTGACCGAAATCACCAGTAAATATTCAAAAGATGATTAAACAGGAAACTCCTTAGACAGTCATCAAGCTTATAAGGCTTATTCAAAGAAACAACATATATTTCTAAGAAATTTTATTGTAAAAAGCAAGTTCAGGGGCTGGCCCCGTGGTGTAGTGGTTAAGTGCGCATGCTCTGCTGCTGGCGGCCAGGGTTCGGATCCCGGGTGCGCCCCGAGGCACTGCTAGTCAGGCCATGCTGTGGCAGCGTCCCATATAAAGTGGAGGAAGATGGGCACAGATGTTAGCCCAGGGGCCAGTCTTCCTCAGCAAAAAGAGGAGGATTGGCATGGATGTTAGCTCAGGGCTGATCTTCTTCACAGAAAAAAAAAAAAAAAAGCAAGTTCACAGTCTGTGTACATTAACTATGTCTTTTGCTCTCTATTGGAGATTTGCTGTTGTTATTTACTAAAACATCATTGTTTAATGTTGAACTAAATAAAACAAGGTCCTTGGAGATTCTAAAAGTTATTAGTATATGGTATTAAAAAGTCACCCCCATTCATCACAGTTCTTAAGAAAATTATAATAAAAATATAAGAAATATATAAGAAAATAATATAACATATAAAATTGGATTTTTTCTTTTAATTTGGAAGAGGATAAAAGAATGACAACTATTTTAAATTATTTTGGGAAAAAGTATCAAAGAAAAATGAATTATCATCCTATGTGGCTGCAAATGTGGACCTTTGTTTAAAACTCAAAGCTTCCAGGTAGTACTGCCAGCTTATGAATAACCTTGAGTACACGTCCTGGAGTTTGGAGTTTGCTGAAAGACTCACATAATCAGTAAAGCACATATGGCTAGTCTAGTCCCTCTTGGACACACATCTGGGGAGATTAGGGAAGCTCATTCATTATTGTAAGCAGGGTGTGGATATACAAAGGTGGAGCTATCTGCTATAGCCATCCTTGATTAGGGGAAATGTTTATGTGTGAATGTGTGTGTGGAGAAAGTGATGCTCAATTCTTTAAGTATAGATGATCCATTTAATTTAAATATAAGTGTTCCCAAAATTAATGTTGTGAAGGACTACAGAATTCCAGAATCATGTCTTTGTCAACTGGTTATTTGTTTGGGATAATCAAAAGTATTTTTGAAAACTAGATCAGTCAACAGTTCTGTTTGATATAAGGTTTAGGACGAAAGAGAGAGGAACTGGAGAGCCCCAGAATCCCTGCTGTATCATACTTAATTTATTATGCTTAGCAAGAATTTATTAGTTTTGGTCTAGTTTTTATAATTGATTGAAGTATTTTCAAGCTGTGATTGTTATCTGGCCATTCTTCTGGCGCTCTTCTTCCTGGCTTTAAGTCTTTTACACGTCTGATTAGCATACTTCTTACAATATCTATAAAAGTGCCATTCAAAAGCTAGGACCAAGGACAGTGTGCTGTGGGCAAGCACCATAATTTCTATCTGAAAGGGATCCAATATTTAAATTATTTGGGCATAGCTGTTTAATCACTTAAAAATTTTCTTATATGTACCATTACCATTGTCATATGTTCTTATCTTTTACATCAAGTTCACTACTTGCCTAATAAACCTATCAGAATAGGAAATGAGATAATTTGGTTTGTTCTCCCTGAATTTATGCTGACTCTTAATAATATCTTCCTTTACTAATGCTCCCAAGTCAAAAGTTTAATGATCTCTGTAGAATTTTCTGGTCTACTTCTGTCTTTTCCCCTCTCCTCCTACCACATCGATCTTTTCCTTTTCTAAAGAACCTGGGGCAACATTTATTTTTCGGCAGCGTGGTACAACAATATTATAGGAAAATACTTTCAAAAATAAAGCATGAAATTTATTTTTGATATCTTACATAATGCCCTCTGAACTAGGAGGCAGGGAGGGGGACTGTACAGTTAGAAAAGGAAGTCTTAAGTTTAAATTCAGTAGAACTCTGATAACTGAGGACTCAGCGTGAATATACTGAGATGGGAGGTCAGAGACAAAGCATGAGGCAGGAAATAAGGCAGTATATTGGTGAGGAGGGTGAGAGAAGCAAGGAAACCAAGACATAGGATAGAAGCAAGTGAGAATCTGAGAATTGAAATGGGTGAGAGAGGGTGGGAGGCAGCTTATTAGCAAGAGAGACAGATGGATGAGGTCGGGTGTGACCAAGGTTGGTTCAATATAGATATGTGGCCCTGATTACTGTAGTCTTTTTATGTGGGATGGGCTCAGGCTTTAAAGTAGCAAGTTCTTGGCAGACACTTTGGATTTAAATTCATTTAATGAAGAGAAATGTGTTTTTACTATATCCTTACCTATCTTAGGCTTCAACTCTCAAATATGTTTTCCCTCTCCTTTTCAGTTCTAAGAGCATTCTTTATGGGGATGATAGAGAGATAATAGGGGTCGAACAGTTCGTCTTTCTAGTTGTATCTGCTCTAAGTAGTGGGTGAATTTCCTTTTCTTTTTTTTTTTTTTACTTTTAATAGACCAAGTCTATTTCCATTTTTTCTAATATTTTCTCCATATTCAGATAATTTCAGGCTCTGGCCTGACCCATCCTTAAATCTTGATGCCATTCTTTTATGATCATCATTGGTAATGTGACCTGTATTTTTTCATATGACCATTGAATACTGAGTTATCTAAATGCTTAACCTTTTCATACTCCTTAGGAAACTTAGTGATTATGTCATTAAATTTCTATTTGACAGCTTCTCATTCTTCTTGATCCATCTTCAAGTTAGAGTTGTTGACTATGGGATTGTTTTCTATTGTTTTCTCTGAACTTCCTGAAATTAGGTTTACTAAAGGTGGGATACTTGAATATCTAAGCTCAGACTTCCCTTCGTGGCTGAATGAACTCTAAGATGATATGGTATGGTTACTTTCCTTCAAGATTCCTTTAGCGGCCATTTTCGCCAAACAGAATTTTATAAAGAGCCAGAAATAAGCCAAGGCAGCAAGTCCCCTCATTGCTTCTCTCTCTTTTGTGAGATTAACTTTCCAACAAGGCAATTCAATAATTTCTCAGATGTTTTGCCTTTAGTGGAGTGGATTTTCATCTGAAGTCTGTAAAGGCTTACATCACTCCTCTATCTTGCCTGTGCATATTAGCCATCTGGTTATGAGGTCTCTGATGTAGTCCCAGGATAACATTTCCGTTTTCCTTTCATTTCACTCTCCTGCAGCTGCTTCCTCCATGCTTCACCTTCAGATTTGTGGATTTCCATGCATGTGTCTACCTTCTTGACATATACCGCCCCTCCCCCAGCTCTTCGATTAGACATATTTATTCCAAACAAGATCCACCTTTCCATCGTCACATTCCAGTCAGGAATCACATCTCAAAAGATCCCCATAAGATGTAAGAGATGATTTTAACCAAATTTGTTCGTGTTTTTTAAAGTTCAGTTTGATCATTTTTTCATCTGCTATTTGTTGGTATAGAGACAACTGAGAATGTTAATATCAACCCCAGCCCATTTCTCTGGTACCTTCTGAAAATTGCTAGGAAAGTCCTCCACTATTTTTCTTTCTGTGCCATCGTTTTATGCTCCCTAGTCTCTAATATGGTCTTACAGTTTTATCTGAGTACTTTTCTCCCTCCTCTCACAATTCAATTGAAATAATAAACCACTCGATCAGACTGACTGGTCTCCTGCCAACACTGTCTTGCCAGTCTTATGAGATGCAGTCCATCTCTTACTAGAAGCAGCAGGAAGAAGAGATGAAAACATCACTAGTGCCCCTAAACCATTCATTTTCCTACCCAGAAATTCAAATGTGTTAGAAATACATTCCTAGCTTCATAAAGAGAATAAGAATTCATTCTCATATATATCAACAGAAGTGGGAAGCGTTCGGGGGACTTTATAAGTCTTGGCAGACTCTCAAGTCTCTGTTATACGCTGCCTGGGAATAAAGCACGTTTCTCATTTAGCTGGGCCAAATGTGCACACTGTCATTTCAGTTCTCCTCAGTGAGGAAACAGAACTGTCTCCTATTTGGTTTCTTTTCTCTAGCACAGGTGAACCTGTAGAATGTGTCAAGAGCTTCTTCAGAAGGTCCTACCTGGTTCATCTTTTAGAAGGAGACCTTTACACCTATTGCAGGAAGCCAGCTCTCTTTTTCTTACTTTAGCTCATTCTTCCCCTTCAGCCTTCCAGCACTGTTTTTAATTACCTTCTTCTTCCTCAGAATCCTTTTCCGTCTATTACCTTCACAGCTCCATAATATGGCAATATATGCACGGTAAATGCTGTGTCATTACAAAATGGAAATCAAGATGTGGGGTTGATAAAGAGGAAATCAACTGGACGCCAGGCTGTCCCCAGGGCCCCAGACCATTCCCTGGTGTAGGATCGAGGGCCTCTGAGGCCATTTTTTAGCTTCCAAGAAAGCAAGGAGAAGCAGATAACACACTGGCAAGCAAAGACTTCTGCTTCTCAAGGATCCCCTAGTCACAGCGAAACATTGGGAATAACCACTCCTGATGTGCTAGCTGAAATTCTTAGCAGTTTAATCAGTTCATCCCCTTGCCCTTTTATATCATGTTGTTAAGACTGATCAAGAAAACTGGGTTATTTTCCTCATTATTGCCTCTCAGCCCGGTCCTTTCTATGAATTCCTATTGAACAAAAAAATGAGTTTTCCACTTGACGCTACTACCTGGTTGATCCAGGGATGGTGTATTGGATGTAAGGTCCTATGTTATTCCAAGTATATATGAACACTATGCTTTGCAAACATATTGATTTGCTTGAAATGCCACCTTCCTTTCTTTTTTTCTTTTGTGAGAGACAGCAGGGGATAGTGCTTAAGGGCCCAAGTTCTAGACCAGACTTTGAAATCAAATCTTGGCTTTGATACCTTCCTAGCTGTGTGACCTTGGGCAAGTTATATAACCTCTCTGTTTGTCAATTACATAATCAGGAAAATAGGGAAAATATGGGTACCTGATAGGGTTATTGTGAGGATTAAATGAATTAATTCGCAAGCATGTAGAACAGTGCCTGAAACCTCCTAAGTACTCAATAAATATTAGCTTTTATTATTAATTCTCTGCTTAATTAACACTAATTTATTAAACTCCATGTTAAATATCACCATCTCTGTGAAGCTTTCCACAATTACCCGAGGCAGAACTAATCCCTTTCACTCCTCTGTGTTCCCAGAGCATTTTGTACATATTTGATTGAACTGTAAATAATTTTTAACATGTGTCTTTCTCCCTTGTTAGCCTATGAGCTCCATTAGGATAGATTTCTTCCTTTTTAAAATTCATTTTGGACTCCTAGTTTCTAGCACAATTCCTGGATTGCAGTGAGTGCATAATAAATATATGCAAGTGCTCCATCTCCAGCAAGATTGGGAAAATCCCTGAGCCTTGGACCATACCTTGTATGTCTTTGGACACAGACTGCTCCTTAGCACACTGCTGGCCACACAGCACATACTAAATAAATACTTACTGAATGACTATACTGAAACTGCCTACCTCTGAAGCAACAGACCATTGAATCTCATCTGAGGCATTTGAAAGGAAAAAAGAACAAAAGATGAGATCTATTGAGCATGGTTTGCTCAGAAATAATACTGTCACACTCATAACCAGGGAAGATGGGGGTAGATTAGAAACTTGAATGCATGACTGAAAAACTTGTTCAGACAAGAGGGGCTTAGTTAACTTTGTGAGGCACTAGGGCTCTTTCGATAGCAGATGGGGAATAATATACTGTGCTAGCTGAGAGGATAAACAAAGCAGTGTCATGGAGTTTGAACTATTGAACAGAGGAATCTATAAAGAGGCCAGCAGAGAGGAGAGAAGAAACAAGCTAAAATAAACAGATGAGTGGACAGAGAAAATATTAAACACGAAAAGAGATAACCCAGACTCTCCTGGAAAAAGGGAAGAAGGAAAAATGGAATGTCAAGAACAGAAGAAATACTGTAGGGAAAACACAAAAGTCATGATGAAGCAGCAGAGAGACGTACATAGCGTGCTTGGGTACGTGTGGTCAAATAAAACAATAACAGCACAAGAAGCAATGTCTGGTTCACACGCAGAAAGAAACTGACTCTTAAAGGGAACGTAGCTGTTCATTTCAATGTGGACTGAACAACTACACAGTTACAACATCCAGCTGGGGTCTGAAATAACGGGCAAAGGGGCAGGGGACTCAAATTAAATGACAATAACAACGACTTCTTACGTTTGAATAGAACTATGCTGTGTATAATACTTTCGCACACATCATTTCATTTAAAACAAAGGAGTTGAGGCCTTCTGATGCAATCTAGTATTTATTCTCCTTCTTGCCAATCTCTCGTCTGGATTGTAACAACAGCCTTCTAACTGGTCTCTCTGCTCTGCCCTTGCCCATCTAGGATCTTGTATCAACACTGCAGCCAGAAGCATCCTTTGAAAAATTAAGGCAGATATGTCATTCTTCGCCTTAAAAAGCCTCAGTGGTTTCCTGCCAAGAACTGTCCTATTTCAGGGTCTTTGCACTTTCTGTTGCTTCTGAATTGAGAGTTCTCCCCCCAGATATCTATCCACATCATTCACTCTCTCGCTCTTTAATGTGTTTACTCAAATGCCATGTAATCAGGCAGGCATTGCCTGACCAACCTCTCTAGCAATTCCTATTCTCCTAATGCTGCTGTATTTTCTCCACCACTGTGACCATCTGACATAGTAAGTATTCAGTTGCTTATTTGTTTGTTGTCTGTTTCTCCACACTAGAATGTAAGCGCCATGTGAACTGGGCTTTTATTTTGTTCACTATTGAATCACTAGTGACTATATCAGTGCCGGAACATAGTGGGTGTACATTAACAATTGTTGCATCAACGACCAAATTGATATATGGGTGAACATGACAATTGTTGCCATCTCACGTTGGAATCTCAGTGGTTCCATGTGAAAGATAAAATGAAACACCACAAGGTGTTGTGGCCAAGATGAGCAGTGCTTTCTCACCTGTGGACCACTTCCCCATTCTTAAGACTTCCTCCATTTTTGGTTTCCCCCACATTTTTCTTTTGGTTATTCCCCTATTTCTTTGATCACTTCTTCTCATTTGCTTCCCCAGAACTTCCTTCTCCCTCATAGGGTATTAGGTTAAGTAAGAAATAAGAAAATATATGAGAAGCTCCTATCTTGTGTCTGGCACATACTAGGCAGTCAACATGTTAGTTTTTTTTTTTTTTTATATTTTCCAGCACAGGTCCATATTCGCTTAAGTTCATTTGTGTCCATATGCTCAAATCTAAATTTTCCATCCCATGTCAAAAAAATCCATCAAACTTAAAAACACTAAGAACAGAACCCTGATTCATTATCTTGTATTTTTCTTTATCTGAGTTAGTGGGACCATCAAAAATCTAATCTTAGTGTCCTTTTTTCAACTCCTTACTACCCCTTATCCCTCAATATATAGTGAGAATCACTAAGTTTTAGAGGGAGAATTAACAACACTTCATCAATTTCATCTCTGCCTCTGTCTCCATAACCATGGCCACTTGCCAAATCTAGGACCACATTATGGATCACCTGGAACATTCCTTTTTCCCCTTACCCTTCTAATCCCTACCTAGTCTAAAGGACTCTTAAATGCCACTTCCTCAGAGAGGCCTTCCTAGACCCTTCAATCTAAATTAGGTATTGCTATGAAAAAGACTCCATACATCCCGTATTTTTCCTATATAGTTCATATCACAAATATAATTTTATATTGTTATTGAGATTCTTTGTTTAATACCTGTTTCTTTCTCTATTCTGTATGCTTCATGAGGACAGAGGTTGTGTCTGTTTTATTTTATTGTACTATAGATGCTCAATTCCTAGCACATTGCTTATCTCATGGTAGGTATGCAATAAAGATTTCCTGGAAAATACATGGACTTCTTCAAAACTTCCAACTTACTTAGCCTCCAGAACTTTAGGTGTCCCTACTTTCATTCTTTAGTTCATTTTATTGGACAAAATAGAAATGGAGAGCCTCCTTAACCTGTTATCTCCTTCAACCCGTCCATTCCTAACATAATGACTAATAGTAGGTAACATTTATTTAGACATATTTGGTGCAGGCTAAAAGCTCTTCTCACATTACTTAATTTATAACCCCATGAAGCAGACACTTTTATTATCTCCATCTTGCAGATTAGCTAACTGAGGCAAGCTCATGTTGCTACTAAATGGCAGTGCCACAATTTGAACCCAGACAGTGTGACAGAGTAGGCCCATGCTTAATTCAGGAAACTCTTCTTCCATAAATGTAATCTGCTAAAATCGTACAAACTTTGCTATGTATTTCAATGAAGGAAACAGTTTCTTAGACTTTATTATGGTCACTTTCTTTAAACATGGTTACTTACTAAAATGACACTAGTAAACCCAAATTCAGTTTCCTTAAATGCATATGGCATGCAGTGGATAAGAGATGTCCTTCTTCTTATCCAAGATGACTTAATATATTGACTGGACCCCATTCCTTCCCTACTTGTCAAAGATGTAGCTTCCTTAATCACGCAGTTTCTGGTAACTGTAGCTATTCTCTCCTGGCATATAAACACATGTAAGCCTAGATTATCCTAACATAAACAAACCAACATTTCCCTCTACTCCATTTCCTTTTCTTATCACTTTCCTTCTGATCTTTCTCAAGTTCAGGAAAGAGTATTCCATAGACCTTGTTCTCACTTTCTCAACTTTTATTCATTCTTCAGTCTACCACCTCCTGAATTCTGCTTTTCACCACTGAAGCTGCTTGGGCCAAAATCAGCTGATATGAAAGGTCTGAGGTTATGCTAAGGAATTTACCTTAATTTAAGACCATGGTTAAGACGTGAGAATTTTAAGCAAAGGATCAAATAATCAAATTTGCATTTTGAGAAGAATACTCCATTATAGTTGCAGGATGCATTAGATAAGAATGACAAAAGAAGGTGGGAGGCCAGTTAGTGGAGTATTTCAGAATTCCAGGAAAGAATGTGTAAAGAACTACATTAAGGCCTCTGCCATAGGGAAGAACAGGAGGGAAACATGAGAGATGGGAATGATAATAGAGTTGGTGAATGTCCCATGATCTCATTCATGAATGGGATGAGAAATGGGAGAGAATCTAGACTGAATTTCAAGTTTCTGGCTTAGGAAAGAGAGTGGATAGGGTGCTGTCATTGCAACACAGGATTTTGAGAAAGAGCAAGTCTGGAAGGAATGATAGCCAGCTTAGTTTTAAGTATGATGGCCCTTGTGCTCCTTGTTTAAACTATCCAGGTGGCGGTGTCCAGAAGATAGTGGGCAACAAGGTCTGAAGCACAGAAAAGAGGTAGTGATGGAGCACAGTTGCGTCACTATATAGGAAGAGTTTAGACAAACCATAAAGGGAGATGATAGAGAAAGAAAGAAGCGGAGAGATGAATACAGACACCATTAACATTAGCAAATTTTGAAACCGAAAATTTGAATGTAAAGTGAGTCATGCAATTTATGATACATTTTCATCATGAAGTCATAATTTGAGAGATGGAAGGGGCCACTTTGAAATGCAAATATTGAGATCTTGGGACTATCTGTTTGGAAAAAAAAAGTCTATTTGGGCAAAAAATGAAGTTATAACCATATCTCATAGTTTAGAGCAAAGCAAACTTTAGAATAATTAGTTAAATGTAAATATCAAAATTTTAAAAGAACTAGATGGGTGAATATTTTCATGATCTTATGGTAGAAAAAGTTAAACTAGGCAAATAAAGGGAGAAATCACAAGCTTTTGCCCGATATGATTACATAAAATTAAAACTTCTGTATGTATATATAAAAACACCATAACACAAATTATGAGACGAATGGCAATATACAAAGAGTTTATAAAAAAATCTTTACGACAAAGATAAATACTCTAACAGAAAACTGTTCAAAAAAATGAGCAGTAAATTTTCAAGAGAAAGTGGTCAAAAATATATAAGAACATGCCAATCTCACTACTATGTAGACATTAAAAATTAAAGAAAAAATAAAATGCTTTTTTGACTATCACATTGGCTAAAATTAAAAATAAATTCATTCTTAATGAGTGCCTAAGAAAATGAGCCCTCTCTTATGTTTTTTGGCAGAAGGTAAACTTGCACGCTCTTCCTGGAGAGCAATTTGGTAATAGGTATCAAAAGCCCTAACATTTCACCTGTAATTTTTCTTGAGAAAACAATAAGAAGTCTACACAAAGATTTTTGTACAATGATAGTTATAATAGCATTATTTGTATAACATTCTGAAAAAAACCTAATGGTTCAACAGTAGGTTAATTTTAAAAAGTTAATAATAAGTTCATATTATGAAAACATTATTTTGATGTAAAAGTGATATATAAATTATTTTAAGGTTTTTATGTAGAAAATTTAAGAGTATTCTATATTCATTTCAATATATTACATTTAGGTACAGAAGAAGGACTAGAATTTTATAAATCTAAATTTTAATAGTGATTAAGTTTAGGCAGTAAGATTATGGGTAATTTTTATATTAATCTTTGTGTTTTTACCATTAGATAAAAAATAAAACAAACAAATGAAACTACAGAAGGTTGGGGAGGAGGAAAGAAAGGAGGCAAGATAAGAGACTTCTTTGTCTAGTAGTCTCATTTTACAGGCCTCTTATTAGATATTTGCCCCAAATCAAGCGATTATAGTACAACTGTGACAAAACCCATATGTCATAATTCCCTTACTAAATGTTTCATTGTTCCATGTTGACATCTTCATCTTCCATGAGCTGTCTCTAGGTATATTCCACATATTTTCTAGAATGGATCCAAACTTTTCTAGTCCCTCTTATAAGTCTATCTTTTGAATCTTCTAAGCCAGCAATTCTCAATTTCACCTACATCCCCACTCTACCACTATTTATTATGTCTTGATCAAATTATTTAATCTCTCTTTGTTCTTCAATTTTCTTATCTGTAAAATGAATATAAAGATAGTACCTATCCTAGGTATTGTAAAGATTAAATGAGATAAAACATGTATAGCACCTGGAACAGTATAACATATTAGAGCTATTGGTTGCCGCATACTTCCATGAGTGCTTCCAGGAGATAAACTTTCTCTCCTCCTCTGCAAAATCACATTGGAATGTGAGTGAAAATGCATTTATTAGAGGACAACTGCTCTAATTAAAAATACAACCATATGTATATGTATACATATACACACAGTTCACTTTTGGTAACCACATCATGGTTCTAGCAATCAGGAGTCATCTGAAGTCAAGATGGACCCGTGGATATCTCTGGGGACAGGAACAGATCTCTATATCTTCCTTCTTCCTCTAAAACATATGCTGTCCCCCACTCTATAGAAAGCCTTATAGAAAGCAAGATGAAGTGAGCAGTCATCGTTATAACAAATATAATTCCTCACTTTTCAAAGAGAGACTTGCACTTATAACTAGTGAAAATGCCCCCCTTAAAAAAAACACCCCAACGTTATCAGCTACCATTATGCTTTCTGACAGGGCACACTATCTTCCTAGAAATGACAGAACGTGTCATGGACACCCTGGGGAGAAGGCCAAGGTAGTGGAAAATCCACTGGATGCTGAGAAAATTTTACCATAGCAGTCTCTTAAAATGTCAGCACTGTTATGGTCTTAGATGCTGGGAAGATGGTACCTGCAATGCCTTGAGGCTTATGTAATGTGACACCATGGATACTTCAATTTGGATAATTTCTAAAGTGAGACAGTTTAGGAGAGGGATGTAAACCTGTATTATTTTTAATAAGACTCCTCATCTCTGATACTTTAAAAAATGTTTACTTACTTTCCTGACTTCATATTTCTTTGGTTTGTTTGATTCTGCAGAGTTTGATATTTTATTTGGATTACTGATCGGCCAGCTTTAATTCAACTATAGTAGGTTTTTCGTTTGTTCTGTTTTTGTTTTGCTTCTAGGTTATCAGTACATTCTCTGAAGGAACAGAAGACTAGAAAAGGTCAAAATGCTTTTATAGTCACCTTGCACTTCTTTTATTTTGTATATAAATAATATCTTTCTTTTGAAATTTCTATACATAAGGAAAAGAGAGAGATGTTACATTTAATTCAAATTAATTCAGAAGAGAGAGCTGGGACAATTCTCACTTAACCCCAAATCATAGCCAAACAAGGGGTGGGGGGGCTTGCAAAGAGCTGAAGGATCTGGTCTCCTCTTGACCATCAGTGTCCTGTTCATCCTTTTAGTAGAACACAATCAATTTAAAGGAAACAGCACAAGAGACTGTTTGGGACTATTATGCTGTTAAAAGTCCCAAGTGTTCACTTTATTTGGAATTATGGCATTGAAGTGCTGGTACAATTTGTGTTTAGCGACTTCCATATTTCCTTTCAGAACTCTGAATCACTTAAATTTTGCAACATCAAGTCTAAACTCCACTGTTTTTAGCAGAGGACCCTTTTTTTTTTTGTCTTATAGGTAGAGGGAATTTTTAAGGGTTTCAATTCCCACTTAACTACTAAAGATGAATTTCAGGAAGGTCCACTTGAGAGCTCCTGAGAGCCAGCTTTTCAGATGATGCTTCAAACAGAAAATGGAGATGTAGGAGTAGATTGTCACTCAATAGAGAAGAATAAGTTTCAGTAACTGCAAACCACACTACTGACGGTGATTTCAGAGAGAATGTGAACCTGTGACACTCCTTTATTTCCCATGATGGTTGCTTTAAGACAACTCCACCTTGGGGGAGGTGGGCAGGACGCAAGTGCGTGTGGCTATAAAAGGGCAACCTGAGGTATCTCTGTGATGATGGAACTCTTGTATCTTTACTGTGGTGGTGGATACAGGAACCTACACTTGTGGCGAAATTGCACGGAACTAAATACACACGTGCGGGCATGCACACACACACAAATGAGTAGAAGTAAAACTCGAAAAATCTGAGTAAGATCAGTAGACTGTATCTGTGTCATTATCCTGGTTGTGATATTGTATCATAGTTTTGCAACATGCTACCACTGGGGATACTGGGTAAAGGGTACACAAGACCTCTCTGTATTATTTCTTACAACTGTATGGGAATCTACATCTCTCTCAAAATAAAAAGTTCAACAAATACCAAGAAATATAATACACACACAATTCCATCTTAATAATAATTTTCGCTGTTATCCAGACTATAATCTCCTGAGACCCAAATTTTACAGGCTTTCCACAGGCTGAACCAGAGAAAGATTGTCTAAAATGTAAGATATCATATGGATATTGATCACTTAGTTGTATTGTGTGACTAATATATCTCCTGATTTAATTGTGGATTAAAATAATTTTAAAATGACTATGAGAAGACAAAGAATTCACCTTAATATTTCCGGCCCATTTAATACATACAAAAATTTCCATGAAACACATACTTGACAGTGTTCTAAAAAGTATAAAATATATAAATAAAAGAGGCTATCCTATCACCATAGACTGAATTTTTAAAACTTTTGGTATATTTTTAAAACAAAATCAGTGATATATTTAAACAGAAAATAAACACTTAAACTATATTGTATATTTAAATAATAAAATGACATAGATATATGGCTTAATTTTTACCTTGATGGCAGGAATAGGCTTTTGGGGGATAAAATTGTTTCTCTCAAGTGGTGGAAAAGCGGCATTTTGTTCTTTCTGTCTAATCTTGTTCTCTGCTATGATTTTCTTGCGCTTCTCAAGATAAGGTCCAAAACTTGGCAGTTTCTAAAAGGAAAACACACAAATAAGAAAGCATGTTAGCTCACAGAAGAGAAAAATGTGAGGATATAAACATCTAAATATTATCAGCAAACAAATGTATGTTTTGAGATTGTTTCACGTATACTGCAGGAAGGGCTTCATTCATTCTTGGACCACTAATCTTCTAGGTATCAGATTCCACTAATTATTAAGAAGAACACAAAAATACTTTTACCAAATATGTATGTATTAGATATACAAATGTTAATTAAAATACATTTCTACAAGTTCACCATGGTAAACCAAATCCATTAGCTGAAAACAATAGCTATTAGTTAGACCATTTGTTTGGTTTGTATAGACAGAAAGTGTATACTATTGATGCCTTTTTTCCTCTTCATCAGCTTTTTAGCACAATATAGACACAGCCATAGTCCCTGATAAATGCTTTTGTCAATAGCAAAGGTACTTTGCCAAAATTCTAATCTGTATCTCTATTTTATTGTGTTCAAATTCTTACCATATCTCTTTAAAGATTGTAACTAATGTTGATTGCAATTTACTGGAATAGCTGAAAAACAAATGGTAAAAATATTGATTTCTCTGTACAGAAAATAAGTTTTATTTTGCATGGAAGAGGCAAAAATAGAAATGAAAAGCAGAGGAAATATCACAGTGCTTAAACAAACTCCATCAGTATTCAAAATCACATCATGGAGCTTTAAATCTCAAGGTTATTGAATTGTACTTTACAAAGTTCATTTAGAAAGATACCTGGGTGTCATGGAAAAATGCTAAGTGGTTTCAAGTTAACACGAATATGCCCTCATACTATTCATTATACCACAATTATTTCCTCTTCACTTTGTCCTTCTCCTCTTCTAGAACCTTTGATCTTCACTTTTACTGACACATGCTGCTGGTGATAGACACCACTGAATTCCAAATGTTCTGTGTCCTCCTATAACCTGGAACTGCTAGGTCTCTTTTCTAAGACTGCAAAAACATCCCCCGCTCCCCCCTCCTGCAGAATAAAGCCCATTTATCTAGCTGATGGAGGCTTGGAAAACTACAGCAGTCCAAGGTCATCCTGATCTCTGACCTAGCAAGCACCTGGGTGAAAAATCACACTTGTTTCAAAACACTGGCCTCCACTTGCCAGGCTGCATAATGCCCCAGGAAAATGAGTTCTCTGGTTCTTCAGAGATGTCAGTAGGGTCAGGAAACTAAACTTAAAGCGTATTCCAATTCAGCCAAACTGCAACTGAAAATTTATATTAGCAGAGCATGTTTATGTGCAAATATCTAAGATTGTTACTTTCATTATCAATTTACTGTAATTATGTCAACAAGTCAAGCAAATGGAAACAATGTTATGAATGCCAAATTAATTTATATTCAATTAAACTAGAATATATACTTCATATCTACACCTTAATGTTTTCCTAAATTACAATATTGGTGATTGCAGTAATACGAAATGATACAATGGAGGGAGAGAATATATTGTATCTATCTTACCATAAAATAAGTGTTGCTGTCTTGTTAAAAAGCATAAAATAAATAAGAGTATAAAACAAATCCTCAATATTTATCACATATGTAAGCCCCTTTAATGTAGAAAAGATAATACTTGTTTGAAATGTCCTCTTATGAAATGACTTTGTCCTGGGGCATATGAGGTATTAGGGATTATGCTTGGTGCCAAAGAAATGTCCCTGGGGTCCCGATAATGCCTCATAAGGTGGTGAAGGCGTGTCCACATGATATAAATCTTGTCAGAATACCACTCTCTCCACACTTCTCTTACACATGAAGGGCATCTAAACCCTAATCTTACATTCTTGAAGATTATCAAGAATTGTTAAGTGTCGAAACACATGACCTGGTCTAGCAGATCTCTTACGGTGGCAAGCTCTATGAAAATCTGAACCATTACCCTGATTCCTTGATTGGCTCTTACCTTACTCAACAGTATCTAACTCCACCTAAGGTTCTATAAAGGTTATTCAGAAGAAATCTTTCTTGGAAATTGTTGGTCTAATTTTTTTTAAACATAGACTAGTGGAGATTTTTTTTTCCCATTTAGATTAATCTTTATCCAAAGGAAGAGAAATACAGCAGTTAAATTTAAACTGTGATGATTTCAAATTGTTCCAATGATGGTAATAATAATAATAATAATAATAAGTGAAAATCCCTTGGTGTTGAGTAGAATACAGCCTGAGAAAACATCTACCAGCCTGAAATGTTCTGTAATTTTTTGCAGCGGTTGACCATATTTGCCATGTTTAAATTATGCAGCCTATTGGCTAACAGTGCTATGATTCTAATATGCTAATGTTTTATAATGAGTCCTAAGGAGAGGTGCTCAATTTAACAAAAAGATTCCTATCGGATTTTCTTTGTGTGCTGGTTAAAAGAATCAATGGAAAAGAAGGAACACTGTTGCCAAATTTTTCTTTAAACTGAAAGCACACCCACACAAAATATCAGTGACTGCCAACTCAACCTTCCAGCATGCATCTCCAAATCAAATAGGATCCATTGTGTGTGGTTTCTCACTGCTAGATGGAGATCCCAGAGGCTGAGCTGGAGTACCAGCTTCTAAAACTTCAAGGCCACCATAGACATTTTGTTTTCTGCATTAATATAAGCAAGTTAAGTGCTTTTTAAAAATTATGTTGTATGTATGAAAATGCCTCTAGGATATCTGAATACTGAACATTTTAAAAACTAAGTTTTCTGAAAATATAAAAGATCAATTCTTTCCGGCACCAGAGGATCACCTTGACACACGCTACATTTAGGCATCCATTTGCGTTCTGATCTTGCCAAAAAACAAATAAAAAACCAAAGCAAAACAAAACTAACAAAGAGTGAAGATGAATGCATAATTGGCCACTGTGTATGTGTGCAATCAGTGACGATTAATAAAGCATTTAGCTCAAATCTCTGCCTGAACATATAGTTAATTGATTTCCTATCGCAGGAGGAGAAGCAGCGGGGCTGACAGAGCCAGCAGCAGGAGCTTTTCCTCTTCATTCATTATTTTCTCGCAGAAAAAGTTGTAGCCTGTGGTAACTCAAAGTGAGAGGTGTTGAGCGTGATGCTATATTTCTTAAACAAAGGGAAAAGTTCTTTAGGATGATCAAAAGCTGCTTTGTAACTGATGAACTGAACAAAGCTCAGAAATGGTGTGATTTTTGTTTCAACAGTTTCTCCAGGGATTCATCATTGATGAATTTGTTCTCACCAGAAAAGCTAAATCCTACTCATTTAAAGATAACCGTATCTCACGCTAAAACTGTCTCTATCCGGATATAAAAAGCATTATGTTGCCGATAGAAAAGTGACAACATAATGAATCAACAATGATACTTTAAGTCAGCAAAGCTTTAAGGTAAAGAAGTCTATTTGGATTATAATTTATTCATGGATCAATCTAAAAGTAATTGAGCATATTATGAAGTAGAAAAGGGTTCTTGTTTCTAATAGAAGCAGGCACTGGTATCTTCCAGTTTAAATTGCATAATTTTTACGAGAATGGCAGCAAGTTGGCTAATAGCACTAGTCTATAGTACTGTAATGGATCAACTCTATTTTCCTAATCATACTTTCTTATCTGATTGGTAACAATAACAGCAAGAAAAGTAATTACTTTGATATCCAAATGGTAGTAAGTTAAAAGATAAAAAGATTTCAGGCTTATACTGAGTGCGATATATATATTGCATATGTATATATATACACAAATGTATATACATATACATTGAGTGCAATATATATATCACACATATATTGAACTCAGTATAAATTGAACTCAGTATAAAACTCACTATAAATAAATCCATATACATATGGATTTATATATATTTATGTATATATGGATATACATATATATTGGTGTGTATGTGCGAGCGTGTGTGTATACACTGACAGACTGAGGAATAAATTACATGTAGAGAATATATGTTTCACAACTAAGAATTTTTTTAAAAAAAAAGATGTTCCCATATGAGTTAGTTACACTATTTATCTTTTGCTTTTTATTCAACAGATACAATATCAAATGCCTACTCTGGGCCAGGAACTGTCCTGCAGTACATCAAAGGTTAAATAATTTCCATATGTGTGCAATTATCATTGTTCTTAATTTTATACGTGTCTCTTGTTCATTCAGGGCTAGTGTCAGACTAAATTAGCGATCAAGTATACTTGGTTATTGCAGTTATCTAAAGGCATGATAAACCCAACTCCTTGGAAAACTGTTTGATCTCAACAATTGGAGATATCAACAATTGGAGAGAAAAATAAAGAGAATAAACCTTCAAAGAATTGATCTTTAACAAAACTCAAGACAGCATTGGAGTACTTTCGGGATATATAAAATAAATGTGGGAGCACAAGGGCTGGGAGCGTGGCTTCTCTGAGTCTGTTCCTCACACACCCTAATTTCAATCCCTCTGCACTCAGGATGATGCAAGGTGGTATGGGAGACACAGATGAGAAGTCTCTGGTCTGTTGTGTTTGAAGTCAGTCACTTTTCTTCTTCCCTCAATTATGAGAGTAATCAATTACTTACATTTGACCCTGATTTTTATTTCAAAATCTATTTTAGCATGGCTTAGATTCAGAAACTCAGATTTTTCCCATGAGTAACTGGCATGTAATGCTTAATCACTGACAAAACAGTAAACAATTTCTCATGATATTATCAAATTTGGACAGTGAAAAAAAATAAGAGAAAGAAGGACCATTTATATATTGTCATCATTAACACTATGTGGTGCCCAATGGTGCAAATTGGGACACTAGAGTTAGACATGCCAAATACATGAAATTAATGACATAAAACTATTCATTTAATCCGATAAATTTAAGCATACAACTTTTGATAAAAAATCTGATGTCTATATCAGTCAAAAGCAACGACAGTTCATGCTTCATAGTGAAAGTAGAAAGCCAAAATTTGCAGAGTGGTTAGGGTACTGATTTAGAAGTCAAATTTGCATTAAAATCAC